GGTGCGGGGCTGCCAGTCCTCAGCGTCCTCTATCAGCCGCAGCTTCCCGGGATCACACACGGGAGTGCTGGGGGGCTACTCCGACTTTGGAGACTGCCTGCGATTGACAGAGGACAGGGGCTCAGCTGGCACCAAGCACAGCCCACGTGTGGCACGGCAGCACTCCCAAAGGTGCCCTCGCACACGCAGAACCCTTTACCAGACCCCAGCACTCACCACTGCTCCCATGTGACCCAGCTGGACCCACGGCCATCCCTGTGGCATCAGAAAAAACGGCGGCACAACGGTCAATATATCAAAATACGCAGCTCAGTGCATCCCTCTCGTACACATCCCCAGCCCCACAGAGATGCCACCCACATTCACTCCTGCCCAGCCTTGCAGTCGCTCCTCAGCCCCATGGGACATCACATCCCAGGCACCGCCCCGCACCTCCCAACAACCCCAGCAAAGTGATGCCAGTGCCATCAGCTGCTCTACCCACTGTGTCTGAGACTCCTCAGTGCAAATTGGCCTCCCCAGCACAGTGCTAGCAGTGCTCAGTGGGTTCTGCCTGGCATACCCAGCACGGTGTAAGGACACCATAGTTGAGGACAACCTGTCCGGCAGGTCGGTGCCCAGCAGGAGCCTCCTGAGGTGACAGTCAGAGCAGTGCCTGAGTGCTGGTGATGCCCATCAAGGGGCACGTGCTGGGCGGGCTCTGCAGCTCTGCCAACAGCTCAGGTCTGGGGAGAGGACAGAGAGGGAATGGGAGGATGGAGGAGGAGGAGAGAAGAAACAGTAACAGAGCAAAGAGGCTTCCCAGAGTTACTGCAAGCAGCCAGCACAAGGACGATCCAGCTGGTGGCACTTGTCCAGCTCTGCCCAGCCGCGATGTAGGCCCTGGCCGGTCTCACTGAGAATCGTGCCTCAGATGGAGGCGTTGCTCAGAACATCGCAACACCTCCAACCAGGTTTCCCCAGTGCTACTAGCATCCTCCAGTCCCCATTTGCCTGAGAGGCCATGGCGCAGCTCAGCCTCCACAGCTCAGTGCCAGCAGCACCCAGAATCCTGCCCAGGACATGCAGCCCCATGGTCCTGCTGCTGCCCTGGTGCACACTGCCCTTACCTGGGATTTTTAACAAGCTCATCCTCCTGATCCTCCACTGATTGCAGCAGAAGAGAAAGGAAGAAACAGAGTCAGACTGCGGCAACCAAGCCCCAGGGACAGCAGGAAGGGGAGGGCAAGGAAGGAAAACTGACCTCCCTTTCTATGAGCATCCTGCCCCAGCGCAGAGCCCTGTGCGGTCACTGCCCTGCCCAGCTGCAGGGCACAGCACAGCCCCAGCCCAGCGGGGCCACCACGAGCCCACACACAGCCCTGGGCAGCACCCAAGAGAGCTCAGCCTCCCCCCAAGGAGGCCACATAGGGCCAAAATCAAACCCCAGTGCCATGACACATCCCAGCCTTTATCCAGCTTCAGTTGCTCCAGTAAAGCCAGGCATCCAATGCAGTCAGCCAGCTCCAGGTCCTACAGGAACTCACTGCTGTCTGTGCCCGTCAGCAGGGCCAGTTTGCGGAAGGAGCGGGACTGGGAGGTCCCGGTGCGGGGCTGCCAGTCCTCAGCGTCCTCTATCAGCCGCAACTTCACAGGGTCACACACCACAGGGGTGCTGGGGGGCTCCACCAGCGGTGGGGGCTGCCTGTGAGTGACAGAGGGCAAGCACTCAGCCAGCACCACACGCAGACCCTGCCTGGCACCATGGCAGGGGGCAGCACTCCCAAAGGCACCAACCCTTTCGTCAGACCCCAGCACTCACCGCTGCTCCCCTGTGCCCCAGCCAGACCTACGGGCATCCCTGTGGCATCAGAAAAAACGGCGGCACAACAGTCAATGTTTAACCCATGGCTCAGGCCATCCCTCCCAGACTCGCCCCCAGCCCCAGTAAGAAGCCAGCAACACTTACCCAGCTCTGCCCAGTTGCCCCGCAGCCTCACATCAGGTTCATGGGACATCACATCCCAGGTCCAGAAGCTGCCCCGCACCTCCCGACACCCCCAGCAAGGTGTTGCCAGTGCCACCAGCCTCCTCCAGACCCCAATTCCTCAAGAAGCAACGGTGCAGCTTGGCCTCCCCAGCACGGTGCCAGCAGTGCCCAGCATGTCCTGCCCAGCACACCCGGCACAGGGACAGCCTGCCTGGCTGCGGGGGGCCCGGCCGGACCCTCCCGAGGTGACGGTCAGAGCAGTGCCTGAGCGCTGGTGATGCCCATCACAGGGTGAGTACAGGGCAGGCTTTGTGGCTCAGCCAACAGCTCAGCTCTGGGGAGAGGACAGAGAGGGAACGGGAGGATGGAGGAGGAAGCAGGAAGAAAAGAAGGCAGAGCAACAGGGCAAAATGCTTCCCTGGAGTCACCGCAAGCAGCGAGTGCAAGGGCGAACCAGCTGGGTGGGGTGAGCCTTGGGACATGCAGCCCCGTGGCTCCTGCTGCTGCCCTTGTGCACGCTGCTCTTACCTGGGATTTTTAACAAGTTCATCCTCACCATCCTCCACTGAGAGCAGCAGGAGAGAAAGGAGGGGACAGAGTCAGTCTGTGGCAACCAAGGCCCAGGGACAGTGGGAAGGGAAACGAGGAGAATAAACCTCTCCTCCTGCTGCCCTCCTGCCCCAACGCACAGCCCTGCCTAGCCACAGGGCCATCACAAGCCCACACACCACCCTGGGCAGCTCCCAACAACTCAGTCACCCTCAAGGAGGCCACACAGAGCCAAAACCAAAGCTCCAGTGCCACAACACATCCAAGTCTTTATCCGTCTCCAGCTGCTCTGGCAAAGCCAGGCATCCAAGACAGCCAGCCAGCTCCAGGCCCTCCAGGAACTTACTGTTATCTGTGCCCGTCAGCCGGGCCAGTTTGCGGAAAGAGCGGGACTGGGAGGTCCCGGTGCGGGGCTGCCAGTCCTCAGTGTCCTCTATCAGCCGCAACTTCACAGGGTCACACACCACAGGGGTGCTGGGGGGCTCCACCAGCTGCGGGGGCTGCCTGTGAGTGACAGCAGCGTCTGTCAAATCTGACAGATCCCTGCAGCATCACCTCCCTGAGGTTGCCCCACAACTCCTCCAGCACCAAACCACAGCACACCAGTACATAAGACACCACATATTGCCGTCCTCCCCACACCCCCTACTCCTCCTGCACATCGGAAGGGCCCACTAAGGACTGACTTAGGACTGACCACCCATCTCTGGCAGTTTGAAACTGGTCCCAAGGGCCAGGAGGCGAAAGGACAGGGCAAGAATAAGCTAAGGTAAAAAATATCTGGCAGGGGGGGCTGCAGAAGAGCCCAGTGAACACCTCTGGTGCCAACGGTGCTGCTGCTCACCTGCCTGGCCCCGGGCACGGTGTCCAGCACAGCCTGGTAGCCCTCGCCCAACTGAGCCACATCTCAGGGAGAAGGGAAGGGACCACGTGTGAGGACACTCCAGGGCCCCAGCAGCGACTGGCAGCCCTCGCCCTGCAGGCTCAGGACAGCTGCTGCCCCGAGCGACCCACCCACGCAGGCAGAGCAGCACATGCTGCCTGTCCCCAGGTTGGCCCTGCCCCGGAGAACAGGGCAGTAGCAGGGAAAAGGCATGCAGGAGGCTAGAGAGAACAGGCAAAAGGCTTACTGACTTGTCAAGGCTCAGCACCTGTAGGGGAGGGGGAAAGAGAAAGGGAAGAGAGAAAGAAAGAAAAAGGAAAGTGAAATTAGACCCATAGCACCCAAGAAGCTTCCAGAGCTTACCTATGGCCTGCACCAGTTCCTCTACCCCCAAGACCTATGCCCAGCTCACCCAGGGCTGGGAGCACACTGGACAGCAAGGGCAGACACCAACAAACCAGACCATACCTCCCTCAGCCCCCTCAAAAGAGGCCTGGGTGCCCAGGGCAGCCAGCACAACATCCCC